CATCATTAGTTAGGGTTTTTCCTCTTTGCTCAATGCTTGCTTTGTTTAACTCATTCAATGCATGATTATTGATTTTGTCGATACGGGAACGTACGGGGAAGTCTAGATCCGGGGAATTTCTCCCAATAGTATATTGGTTGCCGTTAAGCTCCTGCACTAAAAGAACTAATTATTAGGAATGCTAGGAATCGTATGAACTCGTAATTAGGGATAGGCCTTCTTGCAAGGTAATTTAGAGAGTGGCATTAACAATGATGAAAAGAATGTTGAATTCCTAAAGTATATGAGAGTGGATAAGATGAAATTGATAACCCCAACAACATACTCATCCATATATTCCATTGAAGTGTTTGTATTTTGTTTTAGCCATTGATCAAATTCATGCATACATGTTTATTTTCTGTTTTGCATATTAAACTCCACTTATTTCGTTCTTAAGTCTTAAATAATCAACGAATCACATAACTAAACTAGGTCGTGAGTCCTTTGGGAGAACGATACTTGGTCTTACCGAGTTTATTACTTGAAACGATTCGGTCACACTTGCCGATTGTTAAACAAGTTTGTGGCGCCATTTTTCGGTGTTCATAAATTTGTCATCAATGGGGAGGGTAGAGTGGGAATAAAAGTGGTTATAATGGGAGAGAAGAGGAGAGCAACAATAATGGGGGCTTTCAGTTTAGTGTGTGGAAAATGATGATGGGCTAGGCCATCCCAAGATATGCAATGATGGTTTGGATTGGGTCCAAAACCACCATCAACACCCTTCCTTACCCCCTCACCCTATCATCAATTACTGTTTTGTTTTATTTATGCTCTGGTTCTTCTATTTTTAGGTCTCCATAATTTACACTTTCGTAGGTGTAATTTTCATGTGTTGGGAAGTGTTGGCAATAGTCATTCTTCTTGTCGTAATGTTATTCCTTCTTTTGTTGAAAATGGATATTTTTGTGAAGACCTCAGAGAGAGAGAAAGAAAGGAAGAGAATGCCACTTGTTTATGGAGTTGTATCCACTACAAAGCACAACACTTCTTTTCACTTGTTTAAAAGAAAGATTTGTTTACGCTAAGGCCCCTTCTCTAACAAGTCATTATTAGCAAGGTTAATTGAACCAAAGGTCTCAGCCACGCTACCACTATTAATTTGTTTACTTTTGCCACTGTTGTTGGAAAAAGCAGGTTGTTAGATTGTGTCAGTGGGACTAGTCCTGGAGCATTTTCTTCATGGATTTTAGTGCAACACAAGCAACACTTTGATACTTGTTGAAATGCAAGTTTCTGGCGTTACCTGACTTGTTTTTAACTCCAATTTATCTACAGAAAGAACATAATTGTGTAGTGAGGAATTGCCATAAGATAACATATTTTTCTTGAGTAAAAGGATATGGACATGTGGTCTTTGTTGAATACAGAGATGCATAATTTTTATTAAACAATAACTATTGTTGTTGCAGAATCCACCAATTATGTTTGTGCCTTTCTCTTTCTAACAAGATCATATCTCCTAAAGATAAGGATCCAAATCCATATAATACTAATCTATACAAATAATTTGTCAATTGAAAAACAAAATTAACAAATGTAGTAATGAAATTGGTGGCTAAGAAGAAGAAGAAGATGGTGATTCTATTATTAAAGGTTCACATGATGTGCAAAAACTTGAACAGTGAACTGCTGCTTTTGGATTCACAACCATGGCTTTGTTTCTGGTCATGGATTCACGCAGAGGAGAGCCACTCCTACAACTTGAAGCATCTCAGGTTTTTGTTCCACTCTGCAATACTAGTTGTTGATCAAGGATAGATGTAAATTTCCCTTCTTTTCTCTCGTATTTCGTTGCTAACCCATGTGACAATGTGGGCACCTTCTAGAATGCTGTTATCATTTGGTTTCCTCCCCGTTAACAACTCAAGAAGTACAACACCAAAACTGTACACATCACTCTTTTCTGTGATCCTTATACTGTATCCATATTCTACAGTTTGAGAGATAATGTTGTGGTGATTAGTGAGCAGTCACAATGTCATAGGGATAATGA